GGAGGTAGTAAATACTACATGCCGCTACTCGGTTACATATCCGTAACTTTTAATGATCGTGAATAAATAATTAGAGAAATCCGCCATTTGACATCACTTTGACTATGTAATTTCTCATCGATACACATATAGACAATGATTGTTTGTGTCTGGTATAGACAGTTATTCTCTAGCGGGAAATTTTGATCCTAATTAACAAAGTTCATTTTTTAAAATAATGAGCCTAAGAAAAGTGAGTTGCACAAGGCCGGCCTTATCTGCGGAGCCGCTTGCAGCATGCAATGCATCATCCGATATGGACAAAGGGGCATTGCCTATGCATGGCCTTCGGCGGTGGACTTTGTCAGTCCAATGCCCAATCCAAATAAATAAAAATATAAATAAATAAAAATATATATAGAGGGAAAGAGAGAGCCTCCACTCCCTATCTATCCTCTTAATATTATTTTCTCCGTCTCATATCTTTCTTCCATTTTTAATCATAAATATAAAAAATATATATATTAAATTGGTATATAAATTTATTTCCAATTGGTTTATTTTGGAATGTAGTTCTGAAAAATCAAATTTTTATTCCCTAAGTCCCATAAAATCCTTTTTGCTTGAAAAACGACATGTTTTAAAATGAGTAACACTAAAATTACTTATTTTAAAGATGCGTCCTTTTTTCAAAAAGGAAGAATTCTATGGGACGAAGGAAGTACGTCTATACGCAAATAAAAGATATTAGTGGTTAAAATGTTGTATTTGGAGATCGTGAACAATTAAAGTGAAAGAAAAATATGAGAAAAGAAGGAGGGTGCCTCGGGGATTTATATGTCATGTTCTCTTCACCTGATCTGAATGATTTTGATTTGGTTGAAATAAGTTCTGATCTGATATGATCTAAAGTTAGTTATAACTAAAGTTGTTTCTCGTCTGATCCGAACTGATTTTAACAAGAACAATTAATAAGTAAAAAGAATAAGTTGAAGAGAACATGACATTCACCTGATCTGAATAGTACTGATTTGATTGAATAAGTTTTTGTTTTAATCTGACCTGAATGTAGATACATTTAAATCTATTTTTAATATGATTTGGTCTGAACAAATTCCAATAAGAAGAATAAGTAATAAGAATAAATTGAAGAAAACTTGACGTGAGAGAGAGTGATGGTTCCCATCTTGGAGACAAGTATGATATTTGGATTTGGCCCTTTGCATGGTGAGATGAGCCCATAGAAAGAAGAGCACATATAGATGAAGTGAATGTCAGACTGAATGGAATGCATTGGGGAGATACTTTGCATCTAATTTCATCATTTCCTCTCCTTATCTTTTTCTGCATTTCTTCCCAAACCCAATTCAAGCCCCCATACTATACACACACCCCCACCATCTTCCTCTTTCCCCTTCATATAATAGTAATATATTAACCCTTCCCATTAAAAATATAAAAAGCTTGTTTTCTATTTTACTTTTAAGAATTTGTTAGAATTTTTGTCCAGATAATAATTTGAGTGGATAATTTGAGGCTTAATAATTATCAATAGAGTTCATCGATCACTAACATGTCACTTTTGACCATTATTTAAAAACTTCTTTGCATTCAAATATCATCCCAACTTATCATTGGTGTTTTTTTATACTCTCCTGAGGAGCTCTATAAGAAATTTCTGCATATAGCTTTTATTTTCTTCATCATTTTTGACACAGATCAAAAAAAAAAGAAAGAAGAAAAGTTTTCAGAGACGGAGAAAGTATGTTTTATTCAGTGAGACGAACCTTTTATATATCATACATTACAATGATTAACGGGGTTGATAGAATTTAGGATTGTGGTAGAGATAACTGGATTGAGTAATAAGACACTTGAGTTGAACCATATATATTAAAAGATTGAATCCAATCGATTAGTTAGTTCAACTCAAGAACTTATATACCGATTATTTTCCTCACACTTTTCCGATGTGGGATACTCTTAACAGGGGTGAATAAGAAAAATGTTTTGAATGGTAGAAAATTATTTAAATGTTTTGAATGTCAGAAAATTATTTTCAAAATTTACTCGTTAAGTAGAGCACCGTCACAAGAAATATTTGGGTTGGTGTGGGAGTTTGGCGCAAATATGAATCCAAACCCTCACATTTACTGCTATTTAATAAGCACCTTTAATGAGATCATTAAAAGTTGTTGTGAGGTTATATAAGAGCTAGCATGGGCAATGGTAAATAATAAATAGAATGTCACACGGTGATATGGAATGTTTTAACCAATTAAAATCAGTCGAATCAGCGTGTGACAAGTGGGTAGAAGGACATGTATTTCAATGGTAAGTAATTGTTTTAATCTGTTTTTATTTACAGTTTTTTAAAGTTTTTTTATTAATAGAATTATTTTGTTTATATTTTTTTTCCAAAAAAAATAGATGCACTACTTTTTAAAAAAATCTTTCTTTTTGTACAAAAAAAATAAAAAAGGAAAATAATGCCTCGCGCATGGCAAAACAACTTTGATACGCAAGGCAAATGCAAACATGGAATGATGTGGCAGGGCGTGGAAAGGAGTTGCCTCGCCGCTGCTCTAATAAAAGCATTACCCCGTATTAGCCTGCACCGCTGCCCTCGACCTTAGGTTTTAAGGGCGGCAGAGCCACAATGGTGCAAGTGACGTAAAACGACCTCATTCAATGAGGATTAATTTTCATTCATTCTTTGTTTTCTGAATCAAACTCAACTTCAATTCAATTGATCTTTTGTTGAAGTAGAAGTCTCGTTTATGTTATTGCACACCATGTGATCGACAAAATGTCTGGGAGAACTACTCTTGCATCACTCGTGTTGGATCCTGATTCCGTCATAGTCTAACTTATGCATCTTTTTTTAAGACTAATAATCTTATTCTATTTTTTTAAAGTGATATACTACGTATATTTGAATAAGGGTGCTGGCTCCGCAGCTGTAAAAGCTGCTTGAATCGAGTAGAACCATAGTTTTAAAAACCGGACCGGACCGGCCGGTTCGGACTGTGAACCGGCGAACCGGTGGTCCAACCGGTCCGGTCCGGCACCTTGGACCGCAACTTGCATCGAACCGTTACGAACCGCAGTGAACCGGAAAAAACCGGCCGGTTCGCCGGCCAGACAGTTTTTTTTTTTTTTTGCAATTTTTCGCCCAAAAATCTCATCCCATAAGGGTTCGAACCCAAGACCTCCTGCTACCAAAGTTAAATGTCTAACCATCTCAGCTCAAGTGTCTTTGTGTCATAAGTTCACTTTAATAATTTTTAATATTACATTATTAAAAAATGTTTAAAGATTTCTTTTCATTTTAAGAACTTTAAAAAATATAATATTATAGCTATGATTCAAACTCAGAATTATTGATATAATTGATAGAATTACAAATATTATGCAAAGATTTTATTTCAGTGTTTTTCATATTAGATAATTTATTTGAAAAAA